AAAAATATAATGCATCAATGTTGCAATACTAACAAAACGTTAAAGTTAGCCCCGGAAGAATTTGAATCCTGGCTACGCCACTGCTTGAAAATAGTATCTATATTTAACTTCAGGAATGACCCTGCGATGAAAGCAATCGTAATCTACACGATTCCAAGATGGTAAAAAATAGAAAGTCAAAGTGCAGCGACACGAAGCTAACTCGATCAGAACCATTCTGGTTCAGTCTAGTCTGGTTTTAAAAAAAAGTGTATTTTTGTTTATATGTTTACTATGACCATCAGTGTCATATACGGAACATAAACTTGAAATAAACAAAACAAAGCATCGAATAACATATGCTTAAAAAAATAACCTTCCATTTCAATATCTATTAATATATAATAAGGATTAATATAATTCACTCTTACAAATATTTTCTCGCCATTTTCATTAATTATTGCCTAAAAATAGTAAATTAACAAAATTGCCTAAAATCACTCTTAATATTGTATTAACAATTCGGCCTAATAAAATACAGAAATTCTATGGTGCCACATGTGGCACCATATTATGGTGCCACAACATGATGTGACACATTATGATTGGTGCCACAACATGATGTGTGATAGTGTGACACCAATCATAATGTGCCACATCATGTTGTGACACCATAATATGGTGCCATATGTGGCACCATAGAATTTCTGTAATAAATAGCGAGCATTAATTGCAATAGATATTATAGAATAAATCATTATATTTATGGACTACATTAATTTTTTCACGCCATTGCATTAATTTTTTCACAATACGGACTCAAACTTTTCCCCTTTTTTTTTTTTTCACAATTCGGACTCTTTATTAGCATATTTATTTTTCCAATTTTTTAGGAATACAATAAAAAAATATGGAATCAAAATCCAAATAAATCTCATCTTTTTGTGGCTCCATATAAATCTCCTCTTAGAAAGCCGCATATCATGCGTTTAATAAGGCGCCTGCCAAAAAAAAAGATTAATCAAAACTGATCCATAATTATCATCAATCACTTTTGGTTAAAATCTTACCAATATCTTTCCATTTAAATAATTTTCATCAATCACTTTTTTGCTAAAAAAA